GGATTATAACCTGTGGACACAAGAAGTAATTCATCTGACATACAGAGTGGTAGCTAGAGTACAGCATTAAAGATATTGGTCCTGTACTTCAAAGAGAACATTGTCAACTGGAAGAGAAAGCAGCAGGAAGGACAGTCAGTCTAGAAGACAAAACATACATGATTAAGTGGTTTGGCACTCAAAAGTCTGAGAATATGATAATGATCTTCAAATATGTAAAATATTGCTCCATGGAAGAAGGAAACCATCTCCTCTGCAAGGCAGGGAGGACAACGAGGGGCTCAGACTGCAGTAAAGAGGCTGGACATAGGAGGCTTCTCGTGGACAAGACTCTGTAGATCTGTGAGAGATTACCTGTGACAGGTTGTTTTTCAGAACCAGTTAGAAAACCTGCCAGGAATGGCACAAGCACAGTGGTCCTGCTGCATGATAAACAAGCTACAAAATTATGTTTGAGGTCCCTTTCTGCTCTACTACAGTATAACACACTTCAAGTTTGACTGAATTTGTGGAATACGCTACGTGGAAAACAGCTGAAAAACACCAGCTCCCACTGTATGTATTTGCTGTGCCTTCCTCTTCATCTTCATATCTTTATCTTTGCAAGTGACCTTCAAACATGTAGCTTTGTCGTTTATTTTCTCACAGCAGCCAGGAACTGTCCAGGACACTTAGCCCTTAAATTTTATCCATTGGCCTGCTCCCCACAGAACAAAATGGGTAACCATCTCTTTTCTAAGATGTTTGTAAGTTCCCATTAAAACATACCTGTGCTTAATCAGAGTGATTTAACATCACTTATAAGTGCTGAGCAGACAAAGCACGACAGAACTTTACTACCAACTTTTTGTTGCATTCCATTTGCATCAGAAATCATAGAACAGTTTGGGTCAGAAAGGACCTTAAAGATCATCCAGTTCCAACCCCCCTGCCATGGGCAGGGACACCCTCCACTAGCCCAGGTTGCTCAAAGCCTCATCCAGCCTGGCCTTGAACACCTCCAGGGATGGGGCATCCACAACTTCCCTGGGCAACCTGTTCCAGTGCCTCACCACCCTCACAGTGAAGAAGATATATATTTTTCTCAGTGTTGTCATCCTAGACACCTGGACAGAATGCCAGCAGTAGTAACAATAGTGGTAATAACAATGATGATTTTGTATTGAGATTAGCAAAATCATTTAAACTAGAGGTTTTGAGGCATGAATGTGCACTTGAAACCCTTCCTATCCTTTCTCATTCTGCTGTTATTTAGAGCTGCATTCACTGTCAGAAATAAAAACAATAAGCTAAAAATAGAAGGATATATGGAAACCAACATACAGTCATAGGAAGGCCAGTGCAGTCTGTAGTTTTAACAGGTGTTGGTAGGGTAAGGTAAGTTTGAAGCATCACTCCCTATCCCGCCAAGGTCTACATTTCACCAAGCTAATGAAGACCTGCACAGTGGGAACCTTCACTGTGACTCATATTTGTTATATGCTAGCTAATTGGAGGTAAAAGAAAACAATTTTCTAGTGAAGATGGATCCTAAGGCATCATCTGCATTTCATTCCAATATTGATTGTACAGACCAAGTACTTTGCTTGTCTTCTGTTAAAAATCTGTAAAATGAAACTAAAGTGCTAGGAAGTAAAGAAGAGCACAAAGAGGTAGAACAGGAAAATTCTTCAGCTGGAATGAATGACAAGTACATGTGTTGCCTTAGGTTCAGACAAGGTAAGTTGTTTATCCTCTCAAAGCTCTTTTTTTTTTTTTTTTTGGAAGAATATACATATGGTGAAAAGTGTGAGCAGAATATAGGTAAGCCTGAAAGCAACCTTTGAGCTGTGTACATGCTTCTTCATTGCATAATAAAAATGAGACATCTTCGTTTTGAAATGGATGTAAAACTCTATGGTAAAAAAAAGAGCTGATACTTTAATGGACAAAGGTTAATGTTTGTGCTTGGGGCTTTTAGAAAGAAATATGTGTAGTACCAGTAACGAGCAAGAGATGGAACTCAGTACTCCAAAGGGTTAAAGTGAGCTTTAGTCTTCCACCGATCACCCTCTGGCACTGTGTCTTCATAAATTTCCTCCCTTTATGGAGTGTTTTTGATGGCAGGCAACTCTTTGTTGAAAGTTAAGTGCTCTTTTATATGAATAAATAAAGAAGGCTTTGGTTTGAATGAATACATTATTTTGACAAATGTTTATTGGAAACCTAATTATGGCTTCATAAATCAGTGCTATCTGTGGTACATCAGGTGAGCTCACCAATGCCATCAAATGGCACGTTGAATATTAGTAGGATAATTAAAACAATTCTGTTGAATGTTGTCCTTCTTACCCAGGTCTGACAGTAGTCAAAACAGGAAGAAATTGTTTATTATTTTTATTTAACTTATTAAAATACTTCTTGTAAGATGTAATGGACATACTTAACAAAAAAGAAAAAAAACCATTTGTTTTCAATTTGCAGGTAGGTTAAAATGACAGGGTCAGGCATAATGCATGAACTGAGTGGCAGCTGAATTTTAAGACTAGTTAGGGAACAGAAAGGTTATGTATTAGGTCTATCGTTTGAACTTACACCCAGGTGAAGTGGGGCTTTGCTTGTTTTGTCTGAAGTGGTCACTGATGATATGAAATATGTCTAGAATCAATTCATGTGCTTCTTTGTCTTCCCTGTTACAGTGATTCTGAGTTAGAATGACCAAGTTAGTTAGAAGCCATTTTCATAACTATGAAAATGAAGGGAATCAAGCCAATATCTTAAAGTCAAGAAGAAAGGGAGGCAGTTAACGTTGAAAATAAATAAATAAAAGTCTACAGGGGACAAGCTAACAGGAATTCCCATCTCTTGAAGGCCCTCTAACTGATGACAGCAAAATGGAGCCAGTTACAGTCTCTGTAGCAGGATACTGAAGATCTTTAAGCTTTATCAAAAGAATCTGCAAGATTTCCCAAAGGATCAGTTCCCAGTTTCAGGATATGGCTAGATTTATATCCGCTAGGACTTACAAGCATAAAATAGGGATTGAAACTTAAGTAATTGGGTTTGGTGTGTGTTTGTATTAGTGTGATATAAATAGTCACACAGACGCCTTTCTTACTGACTCAACTTCAGTTTAACAGGGGGCCTACAAGAAAGCTGGGGAGGGACTTTTTACAAGGGCATGCAGTGATAGGATGAGGGGAAATGGCTTTAAGCTGAGAGAAGGTAGATTTAGATTAGATATTAAGGACTTCTTCACTGTGAGGGTGGTGAGGCACTGGAACAGGTTGCCCAGAGCAGCTGTGGATGCCCCATCCCTGGAGGGGTTCAAGGCCAGGCTGGATGAGGCTTTGAGCAACCTGGGCTAGTGGAGGGTGTCCCTGCCCAAGGCAGGGGATTTGGAACTGGATGATCTTTAAGGTCCCTTCCAACCCAAACCATTCTGTGATTCTATGATAAATTCTTCTTATTACACTGCCTTTTTATGTCTGTTCTCAGAAAGACAGACCATTCAGTCCAAGCTATGCACCTAGAAATTAATTTCCTTGAATAGGATTAAGAAATGTAAGTGATTGGCCTGGTAAAGAGAACTATGGCAATGCAACAGGAAAGAAACACATTTAGAAACTTCCCTGAGTTCTGCTAAGGCTGTAAGGGTAACAAAGAAAAGGCAGTCTGCAGTCCATGGACTTGACACAAAAGGCTCAAGACACAGCTGTTCAGCAGCCTAATTATCAACCAAAGCATCAGCCCACCCCCCAAAGTTTCAGGGATGTTTGCTGTCAATCAATAATGGTAACAGATTTCGTTCCTGGCAAAGTTTATCAGTTTTTCTCCTCTCTAATTTCTTTTCTCAAACCCTGTTTCTTCCTTTTCCCTGTGGTGACTCTAACTGCACATGTGAATTATTGGAAGGAAAAGGAGGGGAGAGAAAGAGACACAGTTTTCATAATTCAGATTTAAAACCCAGCAGCTCTGAAAGACTTCCCCTTTGATTTTATTTCTGAAGCAGCTCTGGCTATCAACCTTATTTTCTTTGCTGTTGATTTAGCATTTGAACATAGGACTGAAATGTTGTCTAATTTCACTCAGCCTTCTGCCAAAACATTTTGATGGACAAGCTGGTTATTCCATTTTTTCCCAGTCCCTGTGAGCACAATGCATCAGAACAGTTGCTTCTCTTTTCTCCAGTGACAAAGACAAAAGAAGCTGCACCACTGCTTACCTTGTGTAGCCCCCTATTTCAATGGAAACCAGTGTTTAAAGTACTACATCTTAAAGCTCAAAGGAGAGGAAAGTTTGAAGGAAGATAGTTCTTTTATATGCAAAACTTCTGTTGCTATTCTGTTGTGGTTTAACATCTGTCAATCACTCAGGCTGAGTGATTATAACCATATATTATAAGTCATAATATTATGACTTATAACCCACAACAACAAGCTGGCATCACCCCTAAACACAGAAAGCTGTGTGAAAGATTAGCAGAACAAAACCAATAAAGGAGTCATTAAAACACCTAGAAGATAAAATGCTTGAAAATATCTCCCCAAATTTCCTTGTGGCAAGACAGTGATTGAGCCATAAATCAAAGCTATTCCTCTTTAGGGGCTATTTAGGGAAAAGGCAGTATGGCTTTTTCCTTCCAGCAAGAAAAGAAAAGCAAGCTGTGTTTTTAACAGAATCAACATAAATAAATAGATTTTTTTAATGCTAGCTTTCATGTGATTAACATTCAGCTTTTCCTATGTTTCATTTGCATTGCTAAAAACTAAAACTGGGAATTGTCTTGGATGGATAGATTACATTTCTTCTTTTTTCAAAAGTAACTTTGACCAGCACATAGAGAAATATTCATGTTATTAAAGGCTTTGTACAGCATCACAGAAAACAATAATTATTCAGAGCCAATAACTCTGGTCCATTATTTACCACTCAGCAGTGATACACAAAAAACAATCACAGAGAAACAGACTGTCCAGCAAACAATTACTTTGAAGTCCACAGAAAAATAACTATACTGTTCATTGCATTATGAAATTTTCAAATCTACCAATTTCTACTCTATCTTTTTGTCCTGCCTCTCCATCAACTTCGTCTGAACATGTCTGTCGTCTGCAATAAGCAGTGGGATGAAAATTCCTATAATAAACAACAAGAAAAATAATACCTACCACCAGACTAAGAACAGTTAAGATGCTCACAATTGTAAAATGTATTTCCTTGATAATGGAAGGTTTCCAAAACATGTATACAAACAAAATACCTAGAGTTACAACAATGTGAGTAGCATAATAAATAGAAATGCAAACTTTTGTTTTTCTCCCCTTTATGTTAAAAAAGGTAAAAATTAGAATTATTCCAACAACAATTCTGTACAAATATTCCATCTTCTCAGATTTGCAAAATGTCGTATGCTGTTTCAAAGTCCAGGTGAAGCCACAGATCCAAAGAAGAAGTAGCAGAATTACAGAACTTCTAACACTTAGTAGAGTGATCAGTGAAATACTGAGTATCCAAGAAGTGATGGTAAGCAGTTTATAGAAGAGATACACTAACTTGGGAAGCACATGAAATTCATCTTTCTCAGGCAGAGACTTCCGTAATGATATCTGATAATCAACTGTTGAAATGGAGATACCATAAAAAGACATAATAATGGCAGCATCTAAACAAAACAGAAGGATAAATGTTAAACATGAGAAAAGGATAATTATTTTACATTATAATTTCTGAATTAACTTTTGGACAAGTTCATGCTTTCTTAACACTTTCTTTATATTGATTTTATATTTCCTCTGTGCTCCTAAACAAGTCACCTTAACTTTAAGGCTCAGTTTAGTTACCTAAATCTAGGCATCTAATGCTGTTTGGGATGCCTATGTTATCCTGCCCAGCCTCTGGCCATTCATGGTCTTGCCCAAGTCATGTGTCAGATTTACCATCTCCATACAGAAATGACTTAAATTCCCAAAGTACTGCAAATAGCCCATAAAAGCCTAAACTGCAGAACCTGATACTGATTCTGGGGTGTCTATACTATAGAAATCTATAACTCGGACTTAACCCTTCACATGATCATGTTTAAGATGAGATTTGTCTGACCATTTTGTCTGAGTACCTATTGACTCCATGAACTATGAAGGAACACTAGATGCCTGCCAGGTCTCTCCATTTGGTTAGATAAATTCCAACCCCAAGCAAGACATTATCTTGCCAACAATGCCACTAGTTTTATTGCTGGAAATGGTACAGCTGCTGTCTTGCTTCTGAAAGTTGAACCAGTCTCTCTTCAACACATTGCATTCTGCAATGCTGATATATCCTTAGGGTTTTTTGGACTCTGTCCCTCATCTGTAACATGCAGATGATGGCAGTGACAGCTCACAGGACTGCTCTAAATACATTACTGATTTCAAGATGCCCAGTTAGCAGGTTTAAAAGAAACTATAAGCAAAATCACACAAACCAAATTGCTCTGCAAATGATATACTTGTTGTATTCAATAGCTTATTTACAAGTGATGTATCACGTTTCTACTAGATGTTATGATTTGTTATAGTGAAATCTTCCTTCTCATGGATTTAGCAAAATGGACCATCTACTAGACAGAAATTCTAACTAAATGCAGAGTAATTACACAGTGGAGTGCATGTTTTCCAAGGTATGTTTAAAATGTTATCCAGTCACATGAGTTATCTTTTTAGGTAAGATACTCAGCCTGCGAATTAAGGAAAAAAGCAGACTCACATTGACAGAAATTATTTGTGCCATGTTCCATGACTATGTAAATCTGGACAAAAAGCTGTGGCGTAGTCTCAAGAAAAGTCTTGAACACCCTGAGCATGGTAATATCAGTCACTAGATCAATGGCTTGTTTTTGAATGAAGTTGGGAGGGTCTGTTTCTGATGCATCTCCACTGCTGTTTTGTTTAAATGCAGCTTGGCAGCCATACTTCAAAGCAAACCAATACCTAAAAAAAAAGGAGACTTGATTAGACAGCCTTTTTGAAAAGCACAACTCAATAAAATTATATAGCCTAACAACGATTTTTCCCATTTCATTCTCCTTTCACATTTTACCTTTGAATGTAATTCAGCAACTTCTACTAAAATAAAATTTTGTCCAATATCTGTCTGATACCAGTGATACCAATGCAATCTAAAAGCTACTAGAACAGAATGAGACTTGCCTGAATAAAGATTACAAGTTTTATTTTGTCAGGTTCTTACTTCTTTAAAAGTACTGCATTTCTGAAAATTCCCTTACCATCTCTTCTCAGTCTCTCTTTGAGATACTCATTCACTTTCTTTGTATCCTTTTAAGGGTATTACTGAATATCCAGCTGTGAACATGCACATCTATATAACATAGATCCATAAGCCCCAAGGATAATATCTGATAGCATGGAAACATACAACAGTCTTTAAAAAAACAAACAAAAAACAAACAAACAAACAAAAAACAACAACAACAAAAAAAAACACTGACTTGTTCTTTTGTAAATACTCAGGAAGACTTCCAATTCAGAAAACTATTTTCAAGACACATGGATTCCTGGATTGACAGATGCTATCAATAATTTGAGGAGTTTTACATGAAGAAGGGGTTTTCACAGCTAAAGACCTCTTACCAGTTGAACTCTTCAGCAGCAAACAAAGAAGAATCTTTGGGAACTAGTTGACAAGTCAAAGCAGAGAGAAGTAGCCTCATAAGTATGCATGTAAAGCTTATCTTGAAGCAAAGCAATGCTCTCTTCTGCTGTTTACTTGACTTCAAGTGGTCAGTAACACCAGCTGTGCAGATTGTAGATGAAGCTCTGTAACTCTGCAGCACCATAATAAGCACTGTCATTGCCAGTGACATGGCATAAGCTTGGCAAGGCCTTGGGACTGAGGCTTGTCAGGCTTGCTCTGTTTGAAGTTTTCTCGACCTGTCTGTGACTTTGTTTTACTTGGTTTAGCTTGTATTTTCTGCAGAAAAAATTCTTCCAATTGACCAGATGGCTAATTTGTTTTACTTTTGTACATTTTTGTGTGGTACAGACACAGTTTTATATAGTAACAGTAACAAGGAGATATCCTGTATTGAATGAGATATTTGTGACAGACATGATGATGTAATATAGAGAAATATAGTCCTGACGTGTCAGCAGAGGTCCTGAGGTGTGGAGACACAGGGTACAGTGTAGAAGAGTACATGCACAGGATGATAAGGGATGGCTTGACACTGTGGCTATAAACCGATGGTCAGTTACAGAAATGCAGACCTGGAGCTGGATGAAACTAGTTTTAGGGGTAACAAAGAGAACAAAGAAATAGTATCTAACATGCGTAAAAGGCACCACCAAGTTTGGCTATAACAAGGAAAAGGGATAGGAAAGGAGAAACATGTGTATAACAGTTTTAACCATATTATTATTATTATTAAAACTTTTTATGCATAGAAGTGTTCTTTGTTTTCCAGCAATAAATAGATTTAGAGTAATAATGACTCTTGGAATCAACTGTTAAAATTTTACCTATACTAATAATAAGTTCTTGGCTTTATAGGTATATAAATCCTGTGTGTTTGCCCATAAACAGGATTTTGAGCATAACAGCCTTCAGCCATCACTTTCAAGCCTATTTCTGCCTATTAAGTTCCCAGATGTTTTGAGCTTCCAATATCCTTCTCCAGTGAACCCATTTTAACTATAACTGGCAGGCAGGCAAGGACAGCAAAAGCAGTCCTTTTTCAAGAAAACTCACTGTTATTCAGCCAATCTTTCTAGCATTACAAACATTGCTAAAGGCCCTCAACAGAAGACTTTAGTCATCTGGATTATGAAGATTACATCATTCATTCAGACCTATTTCCTTGACAAACCAAGCAGAACACCACAGACCATCACTTGGTTACCTTACACAGTTGTACAAGCCTGCTAAGATGCAGGCTGGGCAAGGCAAGGTCCTGCGCCTTAGCCTGCCTCCTGCTTCCGTTCCCTAAGGCTGCATCTGAGATGATTTCAAGATTCACGCTGAAGCGCCGCAGGTGTCCGATTCCCTGATCGTCACTGGATCATACACACTACGGATCCCATGAAACCCATGCAATTGCATTTCCTTCACACAGAAAACAGGGGGCAGCAGATCGTTAAGACACCCAGATCTCATCCCAGTATGACTTTGGAGCACAGTCCCCTCCTGCTTACAAAAGGAACTATGAAGAACTAACTCCTGGGTAATCCAGTTAGAAGTTTAAAAGCTTCACCATCTTTAAAGACTAAATCCTTTGACCCCAGCAGGGGACAGTGTCAGAGGTTCTTCCGTAACCACAAGTGAGAAAGCTGGGATTTGCAGGTCCTGGGTCAAGTGCATGCTAGAGGAATCATGACTTATTCCCTGGTGTGTTAAAGCATGTCAACAACACAAGTGAGAACTGCAACCTGGAAGCATCAGTAGTAGGTGCAGAGCAGCTATGTAACTACCGAGGAGCCTTAGGGGAAGATTCTTCACACTTCTCCTTACAGACATTCATAGAATGCAGCCCTGTCACTGAGGCCATGCATTGATTCTGTGAGCTGGCTCTAGATCCATCATTTACTCCCAAAGGGAACTGTTTTCTGCTTTTATGTTTTTGTGTATTTACCTTACTGTTCTCTGAGTAATCTCTCTTAAGTAAAGGACTGAACTGTTTGGCAAGGCATCTATAGCTTTTTCAGTTTATAAAACAATTACATTCCAAAACATCTGGTTCTTGCATCCAAGATGTAAACATCTGCAGAGTTTGCAATGTTTTCAAGAACAGACAACTGGGTAGACCAGTCTATTAGCTGTACACGGACTCATTCAACACAGCCTGTTTGTCCAAGCAGCAAGAAGTGGAAACCAGCTGCACAAATTTTGAGCTGCAGAGCTCACAGATGAAAACGCAGATGATACACAAGGCAAACACCAGACATGTTGTAAAAATAATATTTCCATTGGATGCACACCTGAAATCACTTCTCAGTTTTCAGAAGCACAGTCCTTCTAAACTGAGTATGGCATGCTAGGTTTATAGTGTTATAAGATGGCATGCTATAGTACTTTTCACTAGTGGTAGCTATTTCAGTTAGTCCACATCTTACTTTACATACTCTATAAAATATGTTGCTTTTCGAGAAAAGTCCAAATACTTCCATTGCTCCTTAACTGTGTGTTAAGCGAGGTGGCATTCCCCGAGCTCCACATGCCTATGGTCACTTACTGTAGTTCACTGTGACAAATCTTTCATCTTTTACGAGTATTTTGAGCTTACACTCCCACTCCCATCTGACCATTTGGCATGCAGTACTCGGACATTTTAGGAAGGGCCTATAGCCGTCTTTTAGGCCTAGTGTTGGACAATTGCATTCACAGTCACAGGCAAAATTCAGTCTGTACTAAAGGATAGGTCAGGTTCAAGTTTTCCACTTTATCATGCCCATGGCTCACCTAAACACTGTGCCTGGTCTGAAACTATTGTAATTATATTCCTATATTAATATCTCTATTGCCATTGCAGCTCTATGTTTCAATCTTCATAAATTGGGAAAAAAAAAAAAAATTTAAAAGCTACTTCAACTGTAACAAAAATACATTAATTAAAAGGATTGTTTTGGTTATATATTTGAAGTAGCGGTACATCTTAAACTGAAGGTGAAATGGGAATGGGTAGTGTGCCATTCATGCAGATAAATGCAGGGTTGCCATTTACTTATTCTCCCTCTAAACTCATTAAGGAGGATCTTTCTTCACTAATGCTAGGTGTATGACCTACTTGGAAGCCAAGAGAGCAAAAAGAAAAATCACAATTCCTTTACAAGCGGAATCGTTGTAAGTCAACAATAAAGAACTATCAGTGTTTCTAAATATCATATTCACTTTGATAGGAAAAAAAAAAGGTTTCTGCCTTTGTAGTGTTGCTTTGTGGAGAACACAGACGATAGGACTCCTACTTGTTATAAACATTCATTTAAACACAGCTGCCTCATTGTTCTTGGGATGCTCCTACATTTTCTTCATAATTTCATAAAGGATGAAGTTTGCTCCTCATGTCCTGCAAAATTAGGAAGGCTTTGGCTCTCCAGGTGTGACTGGGAATTCACTGAGGTGACAGCTGCTTGGTTTTGTTGTTTCACAGCTTCACAGTCTTCACATATCACAGGCAAGCTGCCTTGACAGTGTTTCCATGTTACCTGCTTTCACTTAGATTTCCACTGAGGACTTTCCACTGCAATCCCAGTACTACACCACATGTCCCATCTCATCAAGCTACACTGATAAAGATTTGGGTGCCATTTAGAAATTCATGCAGGCAGGGTGTGAGAGACTTGGCAACAACAACTGTTGTACTCTCTAAATTCTGGTCACGCAGTCACAGTTTGCAGTATCGTATAAATCCCTATTCAAAGGAAAATTATTCTCTGTTCCATGACAAACTCAATTTTCTAAGTATCGAAAGGGTTGAATTAAGTCCATGAAACTGATGCAACTAAGTCAATACTTGAGTCAGTAAATTTATGTTAAGAAAATGTGATCAAGCACATATTATCATGTAACCTCTAACTCACTTAAAGTAGCATTACAAACCTTTCACTTTTAATTGACTCTCTGTACCTCACTGACTTGGTTACTTAAATACCTATTTATTTTGTTCTGTGGAACTTCTTGTTATGCACATAAATTGCTAGAGGCACGTTACAGCTTCAGTCCTCATTTTTGATCCATTCTTTGTTTGGGTGTGACTTAACGAATGCTAGATGTGTACCAGTATAAACTGAACATCACCTATCTTGACTCTGAAATTTTCTCATTGTCTTTTAAAAATGTGTGATGAAATAATCCCAGGTTCAGCAAAGCACTCATATTTACTCTGATGTCTCATGGATTTAGAATTTACCTTTACAAAAATCTTCACACAAAAAATATATTTTTCATCTGTTCCTGTTCAAAGATGCAGGGCATCTTGAGCCTGCCTTTAAGCACTAAGAGAGGGGAGATTTAGGTTGGGTATTAGGTGGAAATTTTTCACTGTGAGGGTGGTGAGGCACTGGAACAGGTTGCCCAGGGAAGGTGCGGATGCCCCATCCCTGGAGGTGTTCAAGGCCAGGCTGGATGAGGCTTTGAGCAACCTGGGCTAGTGGAGGGTGTTCCTGCCCATGGCAGGGGGGTTGGAACTAGATGATCTTTAAGGTCCTTTTCAACCCAAACCATTCTATGATTCTATGATTCTATGATCAAGAGACACAATAGCAGCTGCCCAATATCACAACGGCTGCTGCCTGTGTGCTTCTATACTGACAGTGGAGGTTATTAATTGCTAAAATCTAGTCTTCCTCAGGTGTCCCTGCCTGATGCTGCAAACTGCTACACATCAGTGGACTCCGGAATTCATATGGTGCCCCAGGGAAATGTCCCCTTTTCCCACATTCACTGGCCGTGTTATCATCTTAATGTTGACTGCTATGCCACAGACTGTTCTCAATTCTACCAACATGTGGTAGATTTTAGCCTGGCCCATTTGAATGGGCCAAAAAATGGTCTAAAAATAATTTCAGTCAGCATAGCTAATATATACCACCTTAATTTTGTCTCCTTGCAGAGAATAACATTTTCATATGAAATATAATTACAGGTCTACATTCTTGCCATTAAAATAAACTAAAACCTCATTAGATATGAAATAATTTGAATTTCATTTTTTCTCTATTTTTAACATATGTATATGTGTACATAAGCATACACAAACATATGATTTTCATATTTATTACTTAGCATTGGTTGCATGATAACATAACCAGACCAATTCCCACAGTGCTGTGCACTGTACAAACACAACACAATGAAGTCTCCTGCTTCAAAGATGGAGCAAGAGGTGTAAAAGACATATGAGAGAAGGAAGAAAGGAAGAAAGAAAGGAAGGAATGAAGGAAGATAATTTGATAAGGTGTATTCACACCTTATAATTTCAGGCATCCTAAGTTCACTGGCCAAGTCATATTTACTGGCTAGACCTCTATTTTCCTCTGTGGTGGGTGAAAAATACAGGTTCCTGCCCCAAATGACCTTCTGGAGAAGCTCACTTTAACAAGTGTGACCTGACTCCTGACAAAATCTATTTTTATCCATTGACTGTAGAGATAAACCTGAGAGACTCATCGTCTACATTCACTGGATAAATCAGATGACTAAGAGGGAGGGCAGGAGGGAGTTGTACATGGATACACCTAAGAAAAGACAAATAATAGGAATTACGTAATAGCTGATCACAAAGGTACATGCACAGATGTCAGCATGCTGTTATCAGCTTACCCTTTACAGTATGCATTATCACACTGATGAATTTTGAGGAGTGGCTGAAAGAATTTCGTAATTTATACATATCAACTTGGAAAATTTTTCCAAGTGTAAGTGGCAGCATAGAAGAAAATATCACTTGTGCAATAGGCAATGGGTGACCAAGCGGACAACACTGTCAGTGCAAAGAGCAAAATTATGTTTGCTAAATAATAAACCACTCAGAGAAGATGGGGCTAATTGTGGAAAGGAAGCTTTGAAAATTATAGAAATTCATAGTAAGAGGTATTGATTGGTAAGCATGTGAGTTAAGGAAAACCCAAGAGATTCATGGATTACCTTAGAGGTAAGGTAATTCATGAAAATTTATCCATAAAAGCAGCATTTTGAATAGATACAAGCACTGAGTCAAGATTACAGTATCTACAGTTGTCAACGACTGGGGCTCGGATCTGAATTCTGAAAGTCTGTGTTGAAAGGTGAGGTCTTAGAGCTAGGC